TGCGGACGCTTACAACTGGACTAGTTACACGATGGAATACTTTGTATTATCTGATGCTTTAAATTGAAAGGTTGTTATACCTTACATGGTATGTGGTCCAGCCATGCAGTTCTTCAGGATACATAATTGTTCATACTTGTAACTCGAACAGTAACCAATAAAATGACCCCTCTCGACTGCTACGAAAGACGCGTTGATAGGATTGTACGTGACACACCTGGCAACAGTCTTTTTGCAATCGTTCTACCCTTCATGAACAGACGGACCCCCTGTACATCAGAGAAAAAAATAGGCTTTCGAATGCAAGTGACGGCAATACTTGAATCCTCGTTTGGGAGCATCTCAAGACTCTGACAGTTGGTCATAGTCCTTTGGACAGAGGTGTTTGCAGTAAAACAGTTTGCACCACACAGTGTGTCCAGAGCTGAGGTGATTCTATTCCACGGACGCCTCTGGCTTGCATGGACTTGCACACTACTTTTAAAATAGTGGTAATGGCAGCTGCAGCAGATCAGTTAAAGGCGAGGACAGGTGTAGGACCAGTGGGAAAAGAAAGTGAACTAGAATACTGAAGCTTCATTCTGTTGTGAATTGATGACCATGTGGGATAAAGCGGCATCAATACGAAACTGATTTCCTGTTATTTAGGTAGGGTCTCCTGTGTCTTCTAATCGTTTCTTTGGTATTTTTACACTACTTTCGGAGAGAGAGTAGTGTAGTTTGAGTTGATCAAAACTATGCTGGAGCAGGAAATGCCTTCGGAAAGTCCGCTTCTGGCTTTGCTGGTACCCACGACGAACCCCCTTTGAGATGACAAAGATTCCAGGACAATTGCTGCAAAATATGCCTGTCTCCAATTAGCTTCGATGCAGAATTCCATGTGAGGTGATCACTGGCAGACACCCGCGGGTAACTCAAAGATAGGATATAACGAGGGACATACCAAAAATGGTGGTCAACTTGACGTTTTTCGGTAGTGGGAGTGAGTATCATACAACACTTGCATACAGACGTGTAACCATTATCGGATAGGACACATATGAGTCTTCTTGGCTTCTGTTCCCAAATGTTGGTTGAACGATGTTTTCATTTGAGCTGGAGCGTGTTGATTTTTCGTTTGGAATTACGTACTCTCCCATAAGATGCCATCTAAAAGTGGTAACAAAATCTCCTTTTG